GAGCCTCTGCGAAGCAGAGGTGACGCACTGGTAGGAATAATTTCCACTGCGCAATCAGATTTAGACTGGAACTTGACAGTTAGTTGACAATTGACAGTTCGGGATTTATGTCTACAATTGACGCGAAATGAACAATGACAAATCAATCATCAAAGACGTCATAAAATTTGGAAGTCTAAAAAAAGTGAAAAAGTAAACTTTCTAGCTAATTCGCGACTTTGGAGTAAAATGACAAATATTAGAGGAATATTTACTTTAGAATTACATTTCCTTTTCCGTGCATAAATACCATAAATATGCTCATCAATCTACCCATGTATTAGGATAGAAGAGTTAAATAGCTGTCAACAAAAAGAATCTGAAATTTCAGTAAGGTTTAAGAGCTGCTTAGGAGAACGAGTTGGGAAGAGTTCAAACGTACATGTAGCCGCTGAATGTTACAAAGATGTCTGATTACATATGGTAAGGAACTTCTATCACTTTTTGCCCTAACAAGCTGCCAAACTACCGAATGGGTTAATGATGCGTTACTCACCTGCTTCTGAACATTCAGCAGTTCCTGTCCTTGCAGCTACATCTTTCCAAGTTGCTCTAAAAGGCGGAACTCATGACACTCACGGTGAAGGGCGGTATAGAGGGGATACTGGAAAGTCCTACATCAAATCCACATACGCCAGCTTTTCTCTGGATTGACGTACCTAGAAATGTTTGTAAAGCAAAGTTCTAGAATGTGTAAAGTGTTCAGATCTTTACTTGCAAGTGGTTTGAGAGCTCCTAGCACAAACTTGTACTAATCCGCTCAGGGCTGTTGAGAAAATGTCGTCGGGGTTTGCCAAAAGTAGTGTCGCACCACCATAAGCAGATTCCAGTAAACGATTTCTAAATCCAATCAGTTCCTACAAGGCGCATCGATTAATACAACTGTTTGGGTAGTTAAAGACAGGGTAGGTAGCCAGTGCTGATTCAACAGGTATGGACCACCGCCGCTGACGAAGGCGCAAAACCTCTGGGCGCGAACGCGGTTCTATCAGCCTACTTCCCCATAGCGTTCCTCTAACTATCAGAAAGCTAACTTTTGCTTTCATTCATTTCTAAACCGTACTCGCGAATCTCCGAAGTGATGATTTCAAATTCACTGTCTTATCTGGTGGTACTGCATATAAAAGCGGTCAAAAGCGGTGTGCACATTCATTTCTTGTCTCCACTTCGCACATACTGTTTATACTCAAGGAGCAATGGGCGACAAGTCGTGCTACATGGGTGCTGGTGGCTACTCGGGCTACATGGGATCAGGAACTCAAGGATCAGGATATGCTAGAGAAGAATATGCAGGAAACATTATGGGCGGCGGCGGCGGTGGCGGCTACAGCAGCGGTGGTGGCGGTGGTGGCGGTGGTGG